CAATCTCTAATGTTATAGGCTGGTGGATCCCGGATGGGGCTTAGGAAGCATAGACTGTTTAGGGCCTCAGAGGCCACCCACCTAAGCTACCCCTCACGTGAGGAACTGAGACCCCCAGGTAAAATGACCTGCGCAACGTCATGTGGAAGAGTCAGGATAGAACTCAGGCTTCTGACCAGGGTTCCAGCCCTGGATCCTTTTCTTCCCTGCCAGGCTGCCCCCCGCCCTGGCAGACTGGCCTGGGCGGGATTGCGCAGCCCTTTGGATAGAGGGGCAACCAGGGTGGAAAGCCCCCCAAAACGGGAGAGGCTCAGGGTGGATTTGGGGGGTGGAGGCTGAGGTCACAAAGGCAGGGTAAGGGAGTCACTTGTGAAGAATGACACAGAGGTAAACCCCAGGCACATGGAAGATCCAAATAGCAGCTCTCTTACCAGGGTTCTCCTGAGCCTCATCCACAGGAACTTCTGACCTGACTGACCAGTGCCTGGCTTGTTGCAAGGCATGAGGACATGATTGCTAAAGGAAGAGATCAGCCTTGAACTCTTTTTTCTTTGTTCTTGGCCCACAGGAATCTCCTACCAGAGACTGGTACGGTCCGAGCAGGGTCTGTCCATCAGGAGTCAACGAAGCTCCACTGTGTGAGTTTTCTTGGGGCAGGGGAAAACCAGAAGAGGACCTCCCACCCTTTCACCATCCTCTCTTCCCTGGCATCTGGCATCCTCTCCAACATTGCACCCTTTCCCACCCTAGTCACCAATTAACAGGCTTCAAGGGGACCAAGAACCCTCTGAAATTGCTGGTGATGTTTTGTGTATAACTTCATTTTTCTGGGAAGAGGGTCTTCTTGCAGACTCTTGAAAGGGGTCTGCATCCGTCATGCCAGGTATTGGGAGCACATTACCTCATGCCTCCCTACTTTTCAGAAGAGGAAACTGGAAGTCAGAGAAGCCAAACAACTTCCCCAAGGTCATATAACTAGTGAGTGTGTGACCAGGATTTGAGCCTCAGTCTTACTCCAAGGTCTTTGCTCTTTCTACCGTGTCTTTCTCCTGTTACTAAAACAGTGTTTTCCAAACTCTTTCGACCAGGATATACAATTTAAAAAATACGTTCTTCTATGATAGTCTGGCACACAGAGAGAGCTGAAACATTTTTCATGAACTGAAACTTACCCCCATTATCTAGGATGAGCTCTGTCCTATTTGGCACGATTTTATTTAAATAACAAGTTCTGTTGTGACTCCCCAAACCCATTTCATTAACCCACTCTTGGGTTCTGTCCTGTAGTTTGAAAAGAACCAGAATGGAGGTATCTGTTCTGAGGGTCTCTGGAGATCTCCAAGTTATGTGGGTTCTATCTCATTGTCATCTCATTTTGACATGCTGCAAACCCAGGGACCCTGACCTCCACCAACTCAGACATTTTAGCCGCCCCATCCCTCCCACTCCACAACCTAGGGGTTCACTTCACATTGAGCAAATACTTATTGAGGTGGTTGAAACACTTCTGGGTAAAAACGAGCAAATAAAAAAGTCTAGGGTAGATGTTGAGACAGAAAGGACATAAAAATGTCATATAGTAGCCCCCTCTTATATGCAAACGATACATTCTAAGGCATGCAATGAATGCTTGAAACTGCAGATAGTACTGAACTCTATATGTGCTGAGAACTTTCACCTTTTCAGTTAAAGGAAACATTTTGTGGTGGTTTTTGCATATCTGAATTTTCAGCATCACTAATCTTGTGCTTTGGGGCCAATATTAAGTAAAATAAGGGTTTCTTAGGCACAAGCACATGATACCATGACAATCTAAGTGATCACTGAGACAGTGACTGAGTGACTAATGGGCAGGTAGTATATGCTGTGCTGGACAAAGGAATGATTTATGTCCCAGATGGGCTGCAGCTGGACTGTCCGAGATTTCAACATGTTACTCAGAATGGTATGCAATTTAAAATTTATGAATCCCTTACTCCTGGAATTTTTCATTTGATATTTTCAGAGCATGGTTGACTGTAGGTAAACAAAACTGTAGATAATGGCAGGGGTGGGGTGGACTACTGGCAGGTGGGCTGTAGGCTGGTGGGCTGGTGAATAATCTCCTATACCTTTAAGGTACTTACTGGGCTTTGGGAACTACCTTCACATGTGTTAATCCGTTTAATCCTCATGTTAATCCTGTGAGAAAGGTGTTTTTCAGATAAGGGAACAGAGAGGTTAGTGGGAAGAGCTTAGGGTTGGGAGATGGTCTCACTTCATTAATTATAAACTGAGAATGATGAAAAGTTCTTGAACTATGAAATCATGCAGGATCTCAGTCTTGCCCTTCAAATAGTGAGGCTTAGCACATGCCCATGGTGGGGTGGTGGTGGTGGTGGTGGGGAGCACAGGAAAAAATCAAGCACTCAGCAAGGGAGATGCCATTTATGAGAGCCTGCCTCCTTTTCCTGAAAAATGGGGAAATCAAAAACTTTCTGTCCAGTTGAAGGGGACTCTGTTTTGTCTCTCTGCCCTGACCCTGGGGCTCAGCTCTGGGACAGACATCCACAAAGCCTGCAGGGAGCCCTACTTGCAGAGTTTTCCTTTTCTCTGAGTTTTAATAACTTGGAATTGTGAGGATAAGAAGAAGCTTATGATTATATTATATGACTATTACCATGGTTCAAATTTGCTCTAAGATCATGCAGTCATGGAGGGCTTGGCACGGGGGAAATGAGAAGGCCACGTGTTGACCATCAGTATCTGATGGTCTGTGAGTCTCCCTAACATTTGGGTATGTTTAAAAGTCTCCATAATAAAGAAATTTAAACACTAGCACCAAGAGGGAACCCAGATGTCCAGTGGGAAGGGAGGTGGAGGTGGCTGAGCCAATACCCACCCCTTAGCCCAATGTGAGCCTGCATGATGGCTTTGGGCTAATTTGAAAACATGTCCCCATGAGGGAAGGAATCAGATGAAGCCCTCATTGGCATCCCTTCCTATGGATAGATGCTGTCCCACTCCATGAGGAATTTCAGGCCCTACCTGCCTTAGCCAGACAGCAAGTGGCTGCCCTGCTCCCCACTCCCCCTCAAAATGGTCAATGGGCTTCAAGTCACCTGGACAAAAATATCATCCTCTTTTGAATAATATGCATCCACCTATATGTCCCATGGGGGAAAATGTTTATATAAAAAAGATAAGATTCATTTTTAAAAATTAAGTTCAGTTTGGAAAGTCTTTGAAAGCTCCAGTTGAAAGATACTCTAAAGTAGACCACAAGCCTTCCTCTTGGAAATGGGACCCTTGAGCCCTCCAGGACTCTCTCCTGGCCTCCTGCTATTGCTTGCTCAAGCCATCCTGGGCTATGAGGAGGCCCAGGCCTCTGCAGAGCTGAGCTCTGAGCTCTGCAGGGCAAGGTGTGTGGCTGTGCCTTGGCCTGTGGCACACCCCAGGTCTCACAGCTGGTCCTGTGTGTCTCCAGCACTGTGCTGTTGCTGAACCCAGTGGAGGTGCAGGCTGAGTTCCTTGCCGTGGCTGACAAGTTGAGCGCACCCGCGCACTCACCCCACAGCACCTACACCACCCTGCTCCTGCATGCCTTCCAGGCCATCTTTGGTGCCCACTGTGACCTCCCTGGCCTGCACTGCAAGCTGCAGGTATGGGCCTGGGAACCTGGGGCTCTGGTGACTTCTGGCACTTCCCCTGAGAGGCACAGCTCCCTCTCTGTTCCATCTCAGCTGCAGACTTCTGGTAAACCCTGGCCTCCCTTACTCTGAGTGACATGGCCAGACAATGACTAGATCCTGGCCAGAGTTAGGTGGCACCCTGGGTAATGGGGCTGGGTGCTGATGCCTGGTGCCTCAGAAGAAGGCACCAGGAATGGGAATGGGCTTTTGACTGAGACCTGGCTCTTAGTTCTGGCTCTGTGATCAGTCAGCTGTGCCACCCTGGACAGCCCCTTCTCCTCTCTGGGTGCAGTGATCAGTCTAAAATCCTTCCCGGTCTGCAATATCCTGCCTCTGGGCCTCTCTCTCCTGACCATTTCCTGAGAGGAGAGAGGAGGCAGGGGGAGGCCCAGCTCCCTGGCCAGCCATAGAGTGCAGACTGGTGGCGGCTGCCTTGGTCAAGACCCTAGGAACGGGGGAAAAAAATAAAAGCAGGTATCCCGGCAACTGGGCAGGAGCAAACCTCATCTCTCCTGGACTTTTCAGTCCAAGACCCTGGCAGAGCTTGAGGACATCTTCACAGAGGTTGCTGAGGCACAGGAGCAGGCATCTGAAGCTGGGAATGCAACCGAGGCTCGGAAGTGGCTCAGGACGAAGCTCCAGGCGGTGGGAGAGAAAGCTGGCTTTTCTGAGGTCTTGGGTGAGGTTCTGGGTTCAGGGGGGCTTTGTTCTCTTTCCCTATCACCTGTTCTAGCTCCCAGGGGCTGTAGGTCAGTGGGCTGATGGCTCTGCTCTACCCAACCATTCAGGGACCCAGGCTCCTCAGCTTTTTATTGCTCCACCATCCCTTAGGGCACGGATCTGCCTGCAGGTGCAGGGTTGGCTTGCTATCATGTTGGCAGCTTGTAGGAAAAAGAAAAGATCATGCCTGCTGGGGTCCTGGGGCTTGGTTGTTTTGTTAAAGGTATTGTAGAAGCTTCATGCATCACTTCCACATGTACCCTTTTACCCACCTGTGTAACATGGCCACACGTGCCCCCAAGGAGCCTGGGAAATGCCCTCTCTACAATTTTTCCAATAAGGGAGCACAGATTTGAGGGAACACTTAGCAGTTTCCATGACAATATTTCTCATACAAACCTTTGAAGATGGTTCTATTCTTTTCCCATTGGGACATGGTAAAAGGAGGCTCAGGGGCTGTGAGGTGGCCATATCCATCCAGCTAATAAAGTGCATGGATTTATACAGTGTACTTCAAAGAAGAGCCCTCTGGCTGGGAGCCAGGCATACTGGCTCTAACTCGGCCTCACTCTGTCCAGGTGTATGGCTCTGTGCCAGTCCTACCCCAACTCTGGTCTTTTCTCTAAGTCAAAGGGTCTGGGCTGGATATTCTCCAAGACCCCTTCTCAGTCCTCTTCTCCTGCCCTCACTCCTCTTACAGACACCGTAAAACCCGGGAAGCTCCACACCATCCCCATCCCTGTCGCCAGGTGCTATACCTACAGCTGGAACCAGGACAGCTTTGGTAAGGATCTGGCTGGACCCTGGGACACCTGCCCACCACCCTGTGTGAGCTCTTTGTGGTCCTGCGTCTGTACTGCTGCCCTCTCCCTCTCCCCAGGGACCCTCAAAGACCCTAAGCAGAGCAGGGGGCAGCACTGAGTCCTAACAGGGCCCAGCCCCCGCTTCCTGCTCCTCCCCAAACCTGCCAGAGCCTTTCCCTCAGAAGTGATTCTAGCGCCACCCACCCAGACACTGTCCTTTCTTCCCTGTAGATATCCTACAGGAAATCCTACTCAAGGAACAGGAGTTGCTGCAGCCAGGGATCCTGGGGGATGACGAAGAAGAGGAAGAAGAGGAGGAGGAGGAGGAGGAGGACTTGGAAACTGATGGACACTGTGCTGAGAGGGACTCACTGCTCTCCACGAACTCTTTGGTGTCCCATGACTCCACCCTATCTCTTGCCTCCTCTCAGGCCTCAGGGCCAGAGCTCTCCCGCCATCTGCTGACCTCCTTTGTCTCAGGCCTCTCTGATGGCATGGACAGTGGCTATGTGGAGGACAGTGAGGAGAGCTCCTCCGAGTGGCCCAAGAGGCTTGGTAGCCAGGAATGCAAGGGCCACCGCAGGCCTGGGCAAAAGTTCAACAAAATCTATAAAATCATCAAGAGCACCAGCCAGCTGGTACTGCGGAGGAACTCTCGGGGCCTAGATGGCTCGGACACAGCCCTGCCCCTGAGAAGGGCGGGGAGCCTCTGCAGCCCACTGGACAGCCCAACACTGCCCCCCTCCCGGGCACAGCGCTCACGATCCCTGCCCCAGCCCAAGCTCAGCACCCAGCTGCCCAGCTGGCTCCTGGCCCCTGCCCCATGCCACCAGCGCCGCCGCCCCTTCCTGAGTGGGGATGAGGACCCCAAGGCATCCACACTTCGGGTTGTGGTCTTTGGCTCGGACAGGGTTTCAGGGAAAGTGGCTCGGGCATATAGTAACCTCCGGTAAGACCCATCCCAGGGCACATGGCTCTGTTCTGTGTTACTCTTAGTGCAAACCAGAAGATGAGTATCCAAGAGCCACCAAGGGCTCACTTCTCACCATCTTCTTTTCACCAGGAGGCTGGAGAACAATCGCCCGCTCCTCACACGGCTGTTCAAGCTGCAGTTCTTCTATGTGCCTGTGAAGCGAAGCCATGCAACTGGCTCGGGTGCCTGCCTAGCCCCTCCGAGCCAGATGTCTCCACTCCCCACAGACTCTCCAAGGCAGCCAAACCCACCAGTATGTCCCCAGTCCCAAGTAGGGTGGGAAAGTGGATGTGAGCAGATTCTAGGTACCTAAAGGGAGCTGGTTGGGAGTCAGCCTAAGCCATCAGTTGTGTGTCCAGGGCACTACCTTCTGCCTGACCCACACTCCCAGGTTCCTGCCTGCACTTGGGTACATCATTTTGCCATATGACAAAGACCAAAAGTTGTCATACTTCTCCAAGAGCAAGGAAAATCTCAGCTTGGGGCTTCAGGTGTGGTTCAGGGCAAAGATAGACACAGGCCTCTTGGGTAGCGGGGAATGACTCTTGTCCTTTGCCTTAGGAGCTGGGCACACCCCCATGGGAGGACAGCACAAATGACATCTCCCACTACCTTGGTATGCTTGACCCCTGGTATGAGCGCAATGTGCTGGGCCTCATGCACCTGCCACCTGAAGTCCTGTGCCAGGTAAGTGGCCCTTGGGGTTGGGGTGGGAACCTACTGGCTATTGTCACTGAGCCTCACTTAGAAGGCTCTGGGTTTGCTTTCGGCTTCCAGGGCTTACTTTAAAAAGAGTAGGAAGCTTCCTTCCTCAACTCCTGGCTTGTCCTGGTTGGTCAGGGGCTTCCTGGAGGCCTATGTGTCAGATGAGGAGGGTGTGAGGCTGTATGGTGCTCCCCAGCCAGCCCCCTCCAGCTTCTCTCTCACCCTCTCTCTCCCACCCCCCGCCCCCCACCCCGGTTCCGTCCCCCTCTGAATCTCTCCTCTCTCTGCCTGTGTGTGTCTTTTCCTCTCTTCCTCCCACTACCTCTCTCTCTGGGTCTCTGTCTCTTCGTGCCTCTGACTTGGCTTCCCCCCCCCCCGCTGGCCACAGCACTCCCTGAAGGCTGAGTCCCGGCCCCTGGAGGGCTCCCCTGCCCAGCTGCCCATCTTGGCTGACATGCTGCTCTACTACTGCCGCTTCGCTGCCCGGCCGGTACTGCTGCAGGTCTATCAGACGGAGGTAAGATCTGCCCTGCCCATTCCATCTCCTTACCCACACTCCCTGGCAGCCAGGGTCTGCATCGCCAGGTCCCAGACTCTATCATGCTGGGCCCTATAGGCCCTCACCCACTCCCACCCACTGCCATCAGCTAGACTGGAGGAGCCGGGTGGGACCTCCCCGCGCAGAGGTCCACACTAATGCCCATGCTCCTGCCCTCTCCAAGCTGACCTTCGACACTGGGGAGAAGACGACGGAGATCTTTATCCACTCCCTGGAGCTTGGTCACTCTGCGGCCACGCGAGCTATCAAGGCTTCAGGTGTGAACTGCAGGAGCCCAGGGGGGGAGGCAGGTGGGGAGGCGTGGCCTGGGGGCGGGGCTAAAATGAGGCCGCCTCCTGGGAGGCGGGGCCCTGTGGGGGCGGGGCCTTGGGAGAAGAGACAGTGAAGGCTGTGTGTGGCACAGGTCCTGGCAGCAAGCGGCTGGGCATCGATGGCGACCGGGAGGCCGTCCCTCTAACACTACAGATTGTTTACAGCAAGGTAAGACGGATGCCCTCCAGGGATCTGCTGCTGATCCTCCACCAGAGCTTCGTCCCAGAGCAGGACTTATTGGTTGCTGGGTCGGGTGGGGTAGCATGGCAGGGAGGGATTTTGAGCCAGACCTGAGCCACCCTTGACCTTCAGACTCCTGCAGCAAGCTCCCTTGGGTGCTGAGAAAAGATGTCCAGAGGAGCGAGCGGACAGCTCTCTCCTGTGGCCTCTAGAGCCTCCCAAGGCAACAGGCACAGGGTTCTGTGGGCTGAGAGGGTCTGGCTGTGCTGCATTTCCAGGGAGCCATCAGTGGAAGAAGCCGCTGGAGCAACCTGGAGAAGGTCTGCACCTCTGTCAACCTCAACAAAGCCTGCCAGAAACAGGAGGAGCTAGGTGAGAGCGGTGGGTGGGCTGGGGTGGCCTGGCAGGGAGGAGGGATTTTGAGCCTGACCTCAGCCACCCTTGACCTTCAGACTCCAGTATGGAGGCGCTGACGCTAACCCTAACAGAAGTAGTGAAAAGGCAGAACCCCAAATCCAAGAAGGGTTTTAACCAGGTAAGAGCTTCCTTCTCCCTCCAGTGTGCCCGAGTTCCTGCGTATCGGGGTGTGTGTGTGTGTGTGTGTGTGTGTGTGTGTGTGTGTACACATGTACACCTGTAAGTGAGAGAGAGAAAGAGTGTCTTTGGCCAGGCCTGTAGATGGGAAAGGAGAGGCAAGTGAGAGCTTTGGCTTGGGGTATGCAGAGGTATGCAATATCATAGGTGTCAGGGAAAGAAGGGTGCCCTGCGAGAGGATGTGTATATGAAAAGGTTGTGAGGTCTGGGGATCCTTGAGTCCAGGGCAGAGAGTACCCTGTTCCGGGGGCACTGGGGCTCTCACAGTATAGAGGGCAGTGCCATCTCCCCAGAGAGCACTTCTTCCAAACTCAGGAAAGAGGCCAGAGAGGAGGCAGGGGCTAATGGAGGCCTCAGGACCCTCCTCTGACCTGACTGTTGGCTCTGGAGAACTTCCATCCAAACTCCTGTCCGATACTCCTCCAGGCCTGATGGGCAATTCTGGGGGAAGGAACTACTGAGGTCGTGTGGCCAAGGCTCCCGGGTCTGACCCTTGCTTCCCTTCCAGATTAGCACATCGCAGATTAAAGTGGACAAGGTACAGATCATTGGCTCCAATGGCTGCCCTTTTGCCGTGTGTCTAGACCAGGATGAGAGAAAGATCCTGCAGAGTGTGGTCAGGTAGGAAATGGTGGAGAAGCTCAGCTGTAGTAAAAAGGGGTCTCGGAAAGGGGATTGGTTTCTCTTCTACCCAAGAGGCCTGGAAAGACCTGGAGAGATCTCAACCTGCACTTACCCCTGCCCTGCTCCCCAGGTGTGAGGTGTCACCATGCTACAAGCCAGAGAAGAGAGGCCTGCCACCCCAGAAATCCCCTGACCTGCTGGCCCAGCCCACACCCGACCTCTGCTCCCTCCTCTGCCTGCCCATCATGACTTTCAGTGGAGCTCTGCCCTAGTGTGACCGCGGCACCAGGCTGAACAGAAAGCGGAGGCAACTCCTATGGACTCCTCTTCCCAGAAGTTACTCCTGTAGAGAACTGAGTGGCCCTGTGCCAGGGACCTGCAGTGGGCCTAAGGTGTGGTGGTAGAAGGTCTCTGGGGTCTCAGGAAGGAGCCTGGACACTTAGCCTCTCAGATTCCTCACAGCAGAGGGAGAGGGATGGGTGAGTGGACTTCCAATGGGTGATCTGATTCTCTAGCACTCCAGAGGAGCCTCTATTTAGGGCTCCTCTCCTAACCCTTGGCTGGGCCCACCCTTGCTTTGTCAAAGACCCGGGGAGTCCTGTGTCTGGAGTCCCATCCTCTCTACTCTGGAGCACAGGTGGGAGAAATGTAGATGAGACTTTTCTGGACTTGACCTTCAGTCCTGTCTCCCCCTCACCCCTCACCCCAGAAACATGTGCACATTCACACACACCTTTCTCTAGTTAAGTTCCTCAGACTCTCTGAAAAAACAGCACTACTATTTGACCTGTTTGCTTCCAGGACCTAGGACAGAGGCTCTCTTGAACCCCTTTCTGGATGTGAGATCCTGGGGAGACAAGACAAGCTTAAATTGAGTAGAGGTTCAGTTACCTTCTAGCTAAAGGACCAAAGGAAGTGAATAACTTCTTTTGAGTTTCATTTCCTTAGCACTAAATGGGAGGGGAAATTAAACTTCTGGAAAGGGTTTGAAAAAAAAAAGAAAAAAAAAAAAGAGTTGTCCACAAACCACCTAGCCCAGTGCCTCGCTGTGGTAGGTGCTCAGCAAAGATTGGAGACTTCCCCTCTCAATGATGATTCCCCTGTCCTTGGTCATTGGCATGCTCACGCTGCCTCTGGGATGCTCCTTGTTCAATCCATCCCCGTTCGTGATGAGGCAGAACTCCTTACCACCCCAGAGAGGGAGTAAGGAGTGAGCCGTTATACCTTCCAAAGAAGGAATTGCCTTTGTCAGCTTCAGAGGAGGGCTTCTCAGGTGCTGTACCCTTCACCCCCTTCTCTATCAGGTAATCCCAGTGCTCCCCCCCCGTCTCCATCATGCTCCATGGACTGATACACATTTTGTGCATCCTCACAAGTTCACTAGAAATGTGGGCAAGATCTCAGAGGGGTAGAAGATGGAAGACAGGCATCATGTGCTTACAGCCTGACTCAGGGGGACCTGGAACTCATACATAAGCAATCAGCAAAATGACAAGGTCAAGAACTAATGTACGGTGTTTAATATTATTGTTAAATAAAACTCAATTTGTTTCATATTTAACGACCTACTGGTTTTTTGCTACATGACAGTTCACTGCTAGTTAAGACAGTCTACCTAAATCATTTCATACGTAGAAGTAAGATTCTTGGAGAATTGCTTTGATTATCTTTTTGTAATTTTTTCACTGTGTAAAAAAAAATACATCTGTGTTACAATTTCCCCGGCACCGTCCTATTTACGCCTCATCATACACCTTGACACACAAAACAACAACAATAACCAAAAAAAAAAAAAAACAAAACTGCACAAAACAAACAAAATTGCTATATCTTAAGGCTCAACATTTCCTATGCCACTTCACTTGGGAAATATAAGCCCATCTATCCAGATGCTCCCTGTCTCTCAAGCCTCAGGGAGTGACTGGGCCTAAGGTGATCCTTGCTGGTGGATGGACCATGGACCCACCGTGCAACTAACTGAGAGAAAGGAGAGAGTTCAATATTGACCCTCCAGATCTGGGTATGCTTTTACACTTGGACCACAGGGAGGGAAAGAAGAGGAGGTGTTGGAATAGTGGAGGACACTTGTGACTTGGGAAAGATAGGTAAGCACCAGATTCCCAAATCAACTACTTGGAATGGAGAGAGAAGGATCTGTGAGATGCTTCTGATCTGCATCAGTTGGCTATTACCATAAGGAAGCACACCTCCAATTCAGTGGATTAAAACTATGAGCATTGGGTTTAGGGTGACTTGGTTCCAAGCTGCAGTTGGGGTACAGATCTGCTCTCTGGTTCTCTCAGGCACCTTGGATCAGCATGCTAGACCAAGAGAGGCAGGCAGAGACATGTGATGCTCCAAAGTCTGAGGCTGCATGGCTTTTGTCAGTATTTAAGAGGCCAAAGTTGATGAAGCTTATCAACCCACAGATTTGATAAGCTCATTAAATCTCACACAAGACCAAATGAAATCACATGAGAAGGGCACTTCTCTGATATTCTTTTTCAAGCCGCATAATCTCAGTTGAGTCGAGAAAAACATCAGACAAACATTGATGGTGGGATATTCGACAGGATGGTGTGGCCACTATTTTTCTAGACTGTCAGTGTCATGAAAAATTAAGAAAGGCTGAGAAAATTGTAAATCCAAGGAAACTATGTAAACCTTAAAACCAATGCAGTATCGAACCCTGGATTGGATCTTGAGACAGGAAGGATATTAATGGGAAAATCCTAAAATCCCAAGAAAGTCTACAGTTCAGTTTTGGAAACACAGACACACATAAGCTCCTCATTGTTGAACTAAGGGGAAGGAAAAAATAATGAGAAAATCTTAGAAACTTCCAGAGAGGAATAAAGTATCAACCACTAATCTAAGGGGTCCTTTCTCAACAGAAACAATGGAATCCAGATGACAATGAAATAACATCTAAAGTGCTGAAAACAATTGACAACCTAGAATTCTGAACCCAGAAGTGTCTTAAAGTTGCTTTTTAAATTATACACTGCCCTCAAGAGGTAGCCTTTAAATATAAAATCACAAGAAGGTTGAAAACAAAAGAACAGACAGGATAACACCTTGAAAATCTGACTGATAAAGTTAGTATTGTTACATTAATATCATACAAATACCTAAGGCAAGAAGCGTTAAAAAAAAAAAAGGTAAAGAGGGGCACTGCATAAAGATCTAGAAGTCAGCTGGGCATGGTGGTGCACACCTGCAATCTAAGCAGCTCAGGAGGCTGGGGCAGGAGGATCACAAGTTCAAAGCCAGCCTCAGCAACTTAGCAAAGCCCTGAACAACTTAGCAAGACCCTGTCTCTAAATAAAAAAATGAATAAAATGGGCTGGGGATATGGTTCAGTGGCTCAATCCATGATACACCCCTCCACCTAAAAAAAAAAAAAAAGGGGAAAAAGATCAAGAAGTCAGTCTAGCAAAAAGATTTCAGAATTATAAATTTGTATGCACCCACCCAATAACATAACTTTAAACTATATAAGGCAAAAATTGACTATATTAAAAGTCTTCACAACCATTGTGAAGAACTTTACCCTACTTTTTAATAGCTGATAAAACAAATAGACAAAAATATTAGCAGAGATACAGATGATCTGACAACACAACAAATCTGACCACATTGAAATAGATAGAACTCTGTGCCCGACAATAGAAGTCACATTGTTTTCAAGTACAAGTAGAATGTCAAATTTCCAATGATTAAAATCAAAGAGATTACATTGTGACTACACTGAAATTAAACCACCGATGATAAAAGTATTACAAAAAAATCCCAAATACCTTAGAGCTATATTTCTAAATAATTTATGAGTCAAGAAAAAGAGAAACTAGAAAATATTTTAACAGGTTGTTAATGAAGATATGATATTGAGATTAATGAATTGCTTAAGCAATGCTTAGAGGAAATTTATTGCCATAGTAGTATGTCTTATCGAATAGTAAAGGCTACAAATCGATTATTTACATCTCAGAAAGTTAGGAAAAGAACAGTGAATCAATATTTATTTATTTATTTATTTATTTTTAAAGACAGGGTTTCACTGAGTTGCTTAGCACCTCGATG